TAATCCTCTAATATCAAATCATAAACTGATCATTCCTAATACCCTGGTCCTAGCTTTTCCTCTTAACATCCACTACTCCCTAATTCAGATATTATAACTGATGTGGAAGCAAGGTGCTCGGGGGGGGGGGGGGGGGGTTGAGGCTTACTTTAAAAACCTAGAATATTTGGGTTAGATCTGAAAATTATTTACATGCAAACAGCTCAAAGCGTTGCCCAGTTTCAGTGTGAATATCAGGGTTTACACAGATACTTCTCTAATCTTTTAATGCTAAAAGGTTGTGGGTTTAGAATAACTTAGACCCTTGTTTAAAAATCAGAAAAAAAATAGAATGCAAAATGTAACTTCTCAGGAAAATTAGGCTGTTAAATTTCAGATTTCAGAAGTAGCCTAAGGACTCCTGGACAATAAGAAGAAATTAAACAATTACCCGTGGGTTTTGCAAGACAGAAATAAAATTCTACCTTGAGATGTCCTCACACTGTAACCAAACAAGCTTACCCTGTCCTTCAAAGAGCCTGCTATTTTAACAAGAAATAAACAATCTTATCTACAGCAGCTCTTTGTACCTGTTGGCTCTCCTTACTCACTTTGTCCTTCAGAACACCAGAAATGAATCATGCACGCCAAGAAAACATCGCGTATGATCTAATTGCCTGCAATAACTTTGGTCAGGAAAATCTGTTATAAAATGCTGCCAATGCTAAACGCCGTCTGCGCTAACTGGTGCCATTTTACGGGGCACCCTTTCTCCTGCCAAGACAACAGCAGTCAGTCTTATTACTTAGGCTTTGTTTGCGACCTCAGCAGAAGCGACGTGTGGGCGGGCTGTTGGTGCAGCCGGGGCACCCTGCGGCCAAGCAGAGGCGAGTGCAGCTGGAAGGTGTGGGGCTGAGGGGGTCTGCACCTCCCCATGCCCCCTCACTCACCTAATTCACCCACGCCCCTGCCGCCTGCCAGGGCAGTGCAATATGCTACACTGCTTTGATATAACCTAGGGATAAGAATGTTTACTTTCCTCATCACTAGATTACCTGAAAATGTCAGCTTGCAACATTTTTTTCTTTTTTTAAAGGGTGAGCAGGTGGAGAGGAGAGGAAGGAAGGAAGGAGGGGAGCAAAGAGAACAAAAGCTCAGTACTCACATCTGCACCAGTTTTAGAAACAAATGCTTTGTATCCAACTGGAAATGAGAATTCATTCGCAATCGTAAAGAAGTCAAGACTTCCCACGGCAACACTGCATACTTCTGAAAGTTGGTAGTGGGACTCCTCTCAGGTCAACCATTGGCAGGAAATGTTTGTAATGCACTGAACTTACAAGTTTGAGAATTGTTTTTGCAAATATAAGGAATGAGAAACACAGATACAATCATTAATTCATAAGGATTTATGAATATTGGCTGCGTAATACAAAGAACTTCAAATCTTCACCAACGAAGAGATGTCAGAAAAGATGTCACGGCTTTATTCCATGGTTTTTGTTAAAATAAGGTTTTAAAGGTTAGATGCTATAGCCAATTTCTTCCAAACTGAGCTGAAGGGAGCAGCTGACTTGCTAAGAGATGAGGAAGAAAAGACAATCCAGGCTAGGACCTGCTGCTGCCCAGTGCAAAGCAAAGGGCCACCGATGGATGCAATGGCTGTCAGGGTGCTGCCACCTGCTAGGAGACACGGGGTCCCTGCTTACCAGGTCATTCAAAGGACTGTAGTCTCTGCACAGGCATTAACTATGCTAAGTAGGGACACTGGCAGAAGGGGCAACTGTGTAGAGCTTGTGGATGAGATGTACATGGGAGGAAAAAGACGGTACACAAGGCCAACAGTTCACAAGGCCCAACAGCACCATCAGGACTGGCACGCGATCTTAAGAAAGCCCCAAAGGATGACATTCTGACTTGGAAGAGGTCCGAGTCCAGTTTTTTGTTTGATTCATCCCACGTGCGGAAAGTCAGGAGTTTGTAAACAAAACATCACAGCACGAAAAAAAATACTTCCCCTCCATCACTAGTTGCTACTGCCTCACTAGAACATCCTGAATTTTGCCTTTTTGGATCAAAATGAGAAGTACTGTTAAAATGCAGAGTTGTTTACAATTCTGTTCTTCCCCTTTACTAACTGCAGCTGCAGACAGGACATACCCGCAGTGTCACCAAGGCTTGCCTGGGTTGGCAAGAGCCACTGCTACTCATGAGGACGCAGCAGCAGTGACCTTCGCAGGACACACAGCCTTTCTCAGCCACTTTCACAGGGGATGCTACTCTCACCGCACCCCAATGAGCAGCATGAGTAGAAACAAGTCTCATGCAGTCCTGTCTTCTCACACCAGACACGAGTGGTCCTGAAAGCAAGAGCTGGAAGGCACAGCAGCAAGGAACCGGCACCCTCTAGAAGCGACTGCCCCGCTTACCGATCCCCCTTTCCTCTGAGCCGTGCCAGGGGGAGTGTGCACTGAGCACTACCACGTACAGTGCTATCTCTGTTACTCACTTACTACTTCCTGCAACAGGAATGCTATTTTATTTTTTCTGTCATCCTAATTTGACTATTCATCCCATTTTCCTCCACTACATTCTATGACAAACAACTACCACCCAATACGCCATTTTGAAGGGCTGAAATAGTACGTAGTATATTTTGCATACTTTTATTCTCTTAAGTATTAAAATCCAGACATTGCCTTATGACAAATGTTATAATAAGAACAGAAAAATAACGAAATCTTAGTCTCTTGGCAAACTTGCAAGTAGTCAAATGTACCAACATATCTCTGTAGTCACTGCAAAAAATGCCTTCCAAAGGAGCCCAGCAATTACAACCACGGACCCTGAACGTCTCCACCCTGGTACCTACCCCACCGGCTGCCAGGTCAGGCACCTTTGTGGAGATGCGGAAAGGGAACAGACCAGCCCTGAGCACGCACTGGCTGAGAAATGCCCAGGCGACCAGAGGAGACGGGTTTCCCTTGGGCAGCCCTCACCTGCCCCTGCCAGCTCTGACCCCCCAGAACACCCAGCTGAGCCCCTTCAGACAGCAACCCGGAGAACGGAGAGACAGGATCCCACCACCTGCAAATCACAGCTAGCAGGCCCTGCTTTTATTTCACTCCACTGGTCCAGCTCCTAACGACCAAGTGAGCATGTGTGCACCCTTTTAAGCCCCCCAAGGAGACCCTCAGCAGCCCACCCTAATGGTTTCCAGTCAGTGGCCGCCCACCCACTCTGCTCAGAGCAGGAGCTCCGGAGAGCAGGGCAGGCAGCTCGCACTGCAGGGGCCAGGGACACACATCCAAACTGGGGGCTGCTTTCCGACTGGATTACACCACCGTGGCTGGGACTGCAAGTTCAGACCACTACCAATATTCCTACCACATTAGAAAGAAAATCTTAAAAAAAGATTCTTCTTTCAGCACAACTCAGCACAATTCGCAGCTGCTGCGGTTTGTGTATTGTGCTCCCCTCTTTCTCTAGATTTCTCATAACATCAGATAACATTTGATCTTCTTACCTGATAAACTCCATTTTGCAGTTCAAACGAGACTTCTGGGGACAGTCACAGTCAACAATTCCACACCCAGTAATTGCATTGCATATTTATTTATCAAGCACCTGCATTAATTTCCATAAATAGCTAAAATGTGAACTCAGTGCGACAGAACTTTCATTATTATTCAGGGTAAAAAAAAAAAAATTTGTAAATATTATTCTTCTTTTCAGTAAAGCAGCCATGAACTTTGAAATTTGATAGCCAAGTTACAGAATTCAAGAAAAAGTGCCTTAATGATATTGGAGGGATTACAAATGATAGCGTAGGAGTTTGAGTACAGAAGTAACTAAGCATTTTTAACGGTTTATGCAACTTCACTTTTGTGTATTTTGCCAAGACAATGTAATTTACAAACTGAGAATGTTCAAAATTTTTATATATTTTACCAAATCAATCTTGTTAACATGGTGAATCAATTTTGCTGGTTTTACACTAGTTGATATTATTTACATAGAATAAATATACTTTATGCTGGACCAAGCACTGGAATATGAAATGCTGCTCAAGTATGAAAGACTATTCTCACATACAATCACAAATTGCTGGGTGCTAATACAAACCCTCCAATATATGCCAGCAAATAGAAGCAGTTACGCAGCAGCAAAAAAACCCAAACAAACACACAAACGAAAAAAACCAGCAATGTTTTAAGAATTGGGAAAAAGGAAAAAGAAAAGAGAATCCTTAAGCTTAGTCATCACCTCAGGTAGCATTTGGACAAAAAGGTCCTAAATTGACCCACCAATTAATAACAAATGAGGAGTATTCACAGTTTCCAGATTAACCCCAATGTGGAACAAGGGATGAATATCTATGCTTATTTCAAGCCGTGTATCACTTGGCAGAGCCACCACAAGTTCTCATGAGAGAAGAGGACATTCTCATTACGAAGGTTAAAGGGCAGCTTGAACAAGAATGCAACCAGAACAAGCATGAAAGGGCAGCTCCTCTATGAAGTCAGAGCATGCCTTCTGCCACCTACATGCAACCCATCTCTGCAACCCACAAATCAGCAGAGGAGTGCAGCCATCGCGGTGGCTGTGGTTATGAGGATCCAGAAGCACCAAGCAGCTGCATGAAGGCCACTCTGCTAGGCTGATTCTTTACCAGAGCACAGGAGTTAGACCTCATGGTACCCCATCTCCTTCGCTCCTACAGGATCCACACTGGGACCCACGACTGATGGATGGGACAGGCTGGTGACAGTGTTCGCTAGCAGTGCTGAATTATTCAGAGCAGTAGGGACAAGGCCTTTCAGAAGGAGCTGAGTGTGTGACTAGGTAACAAAAAGAGCAGATAAAATTGATCACGAACGCAAGTGACGTAAAGCACGGCAGAGGGGACACAAAAGCTTCTAGCCTTACTCATGCAGTGATGGGCTGTAGGTTGAACATGACTGTTCTATGACTCTGTCTCTAACCAATTTTGAAGTCCCGCTGAAAGGTCTGAAGACTTGTCTGCAGTACTGAGGATTAGACTGTCTAAATAGGCGTTGCACTGTGGGAACCCCTCAGCACCGCAGAATTACACTGTCCTATGTTATAATACACAACAACTGTATTTTCCTGTCTCTCACCATAGGTCTCCCAGCAAGAGAAGAGGCCCTGAGAATGGAAGGCGCTCTAGACCCTTGACAAAAAGCACCACAACAGTCAAATCGAGAAAGGTAAGGACAAGCCATCGATACTGAAAGATTTACAGAGTCTAGCTTGGATTTTGGCAGTGGGAAGAGAAGTTTTCAAATACAGCTTGTTACCATCTTAAATAAAAATGCCAATCATTATTGATGCTTTCCAGCTGTCTTAGCAGATAGTTGAAAGATACAAAAGGAAAAGTGGAGATCATTCTAGCTTTAGCAATATCACCCCAAACCTTACCTGTTATCACCTCCAAATCCTAACACACCTACTCACATGGCAGTTGTATTATAACACCTGCTCTTGTCACCATCTTTTTCCTTTAAAAACCCAACCAAACAAAACCAAATGCCTCGATGACTAGAGCTTAAACATAAAGATAGGCAGGTCTTCTTACAGTAGAACTACCAGGAAGAGATTAACTGCAGGCTTTGCATGTGAACACGGGTAACACCTCCTCCATTGCTCCACTTATGCATGCAAGTTACAGAGCAGCACCTAAGCTGGTCAGCCTTTCCAGTGTCTGCAGAAGAGATACAGAAAACAATATAACAAAGGAAACAATTTTACCTATTTAAAAGAAAATTTCCATTTCTAGTTATTGCAAGATTGCATTCCAGTTCCAATTTGCTACACAGAGGCATCAGCTACTGACCCTGAACTGTGGCAATAAGGAAATCCTTATTTTCTAAAAGACAGGGTGGGGTTTTTTTCCCAGATCCATGGCATGTGTTTTCCAGTTGCCTAGGTTTTCATTTGACAAATACAGCAGTATTGTATCTATATCTGTTCTGCTCTCCCTACAGAGGATAATCCACCCCCGTAAACATTCTGTCAAAGAAAAGCAGACAGCAGATATGATTTCTTCTTGGAGATGCTCTAAAATTTCAATCTGAAAGACTTGAGAGGACAGCTCTAGCTTCTACGTTATGCTAACACACAGACAACGCTCCTGTATCTCATGCTACTAAAAGTAAACGATTAAAGCAAACTGTGCTAGCTGCACATAAGGTTTTCTTTCAAGTGAGCATTAGAAAATATTGGCATACACTAGATACTTCCATGCCTGACTAACAGAAGAGTGGGGTTTATGCCTGTATACAAAACAGAACACTTCTACTGTATTGATATGAATATTCATATCCCTCACGTGCTTCCTGGTAAACCAGGGCTAAAAATATATACTGGTCCTTAATGGTTAATGAGATGCATTTAGAGTCACAAAATCACTGTGGCTCGTCCCCCTCCTAATTACAAGCACGTAGGCTTATACCTGCAAAAAAGGGGCAGCACAGGGCTTGAAGACAACAGATTAAAGTCAAACAGAAAAGCAAATGGATTCTCTGTTCAAAACAGCAGTATGCCCTTGAACATCATAAAAAAAGTGAGATGGCACCACTTGGAAAATACTTACTATGCATCCCCACTGGAAATGACCATGTGGTGATTTCTGAGAAGCCTGCCGAGTTTATTTCGAAGTAAGAGTAGAAATCTTATATTAATTAATTGAAAGCATAGCATTGTTTTATCTTACTGAGATTATCTCTCTCTGCTTCTAGGAAAAAAGATATTGTAAGATGTTCAACTCCAGCACCAGCTCCTTGGGAAACAACTGCAGTCACAGCACAGTAATAACTAGGACAGTCATTCCCCTGGTCTACTGCTTAATTTTCATAGTGGGACTCTTGCTCAATGGTGTGGCAGCATGGATCTTTCTATATGTTTCTAGCAAAAAGAGTTTTATCATCTATCTCAAAAACATCGTTGTTGCTGATCTCCTAATGTGCTTGACGTTTCCTTTCAAAATTCTTGCCGATTCAGAAATTGCACCTCCACAGCTCAACACGTTTGTGTGTAGATACTCTGCTGTTGTTTTTTATACAAACATGTACATTGGGATAACATTTTTTGGCCTCATAAGTTTTGACAGATACTACAAAATTGTAAAGCCTTTGTTCACCTCCTTTGTTCACACTGTTAACTACAGTAAGGTGGTCTCTATAATCATATGGTTATTGTTAATAATTATATCATTTCCAAATATGATTTTAACTAATGAAATCACTGGAGACAATTATTCCAGAAAATGTATAGGTCTTAAAAGTGAGCTTGGCAGACAGTGGCACAAGGCATCAAGTTATATTTGCACGGGGATATTCTGGGTTGTTTTTCTTCTGCTAATCATTTTTTACACTTCTATTTCAAAAAAAATATATAGCTCTTATAAAAAATTCAGAAAGAACTCAGATGTGACCAAAAGAAAAACCAGCCGTAATATATTCAGTATCATATTTGTATTTGTCATTTGCTTTGTACCTTATCACCTCTGCAGAATACCATACACTGTAAGTCAAACCAGCTCACAATTCAACTGCCAGTCAAAAAAAACGCTGTTCTATGCAAAGGAGTTTACTCTTGTACTGTCTGCTGCAAACGTATGCCTTGATCCCGTTATTTATTTTTTCCTCTGCCTACCCTTTAAAGAAAAGCTGTATCAAAAACTGCAGCTCAAGCTGAAAACTTCAAGTGAGATTGAAATTTCTAAATCCAGAAGATCAAATACACTTCGGGAAAGTATAAACATAGTGTAGGTTCAGGTCTGTAAAATAATGTGCTTTTCAGAAAGTTTTTCAAGAATTAAGTCTCAAAGAAACTGAACAGATGACAACCAGCAATAAAACAGAAAAAAGATTTCAGCATAAAATACCAAGTGGTGTTTCTCTGCATAAAAACATTATTGCGTGTTGCCAATATATTGATGATGTGCTATTTCAACTGATGCTGTGATTGCATTATGGTGTGATACAACCTATCTGGATCTCAAAAAAAGACAGAGGAATAACTGGAACAACACGTTCTGGAGCTCCAAGCCATGGTTCTCTGAACGGATTATCCAACAGACTCAATAGTCAAACTCATTTGCTGTTGTTTCTCACGAAGCCAGGCACGACACACGTGACTCAACAACCCAGCCTGAAGTGCCTGGAAACAAATGATGGCCTCACCTCGGCTGGAGCAGACCCCTCAGAAGCAACACGATGAAGTTCAGCACAAGTCTCTCTGACTTGGCCTCCACCAGCCCATGAAAGAAGACTGAGATCCTGAGGGGAAGCTCTCTTGTGTATTTACCAGCTCACAAACCAAAGCGTTGAAGGCGATATGCAGCTTAAGGAAGGACTCTATTCCAACAACGGGGGGGGGGGGCAGCAGAAGATTTAAAGAAAAAAAAAAAAAATAGATCAAATCCTCAAAGATTTGCACAGAGCCTGAAAAACCGTCAGTAAAATTTATGTATTTTTATATGTGTATATATATATATATATGATTTCTTAAAGGGAACGTTCTATAAAATTAAAAATTAAGCATGATTATTTGTCACTCTTAGCCACCAAATGTCAAAGTACCTCTGTAAAATGTGATGTTCAATGTAAGCAAGTGTTTAAAGAGGATCCCTCTATAAACTAAATAGCGCAGTTACACTGTACCACATTCCTCAGGACTTTTCTGAAATAACATGGTGCAGACCAAAAGCATACATACCAAACTGACTGAGATTTTAGTAATTGCCTTTCTGTTGTTGCAGAAGGAGATAAGAACACTCAAGGAGCCATACATGTCTAGAAACTCTGGGGTATATTTAAATCCAGAAAGAATGATTTGTTGGTTTTCCTATGATTTTGGCACGATGATAAAGCATTTCTCTCTGTACAAAGGTAATAGCCAAGAGCCACCAACCTTCTATATATAAATATAGTATCTTTTTAAACTGTATTTTTCAGTGCAGCGCTTTTTTTTGATTGATTGATTTTATCACTGTACAGGAAAAACACACCAGTGCATAAAGTACCCACAAAAGCTTTCAGGCAACAGCTCTGGAAGCTGAATGCTTTCATTTTACTTAACAAAGAAGATACAGGAACAGAAATAACATGTGCTTCACCTTTCTGCCACTGTGTTTCTTTTTAGTCCTAACAGAGAATCTCTCAGGGTGAAAGATTTTTAAATACATGGTCTTTGAACCTTCTCCAAGGCTGCGGGTAATTTCTCTTGCTCTGAGACCACCAATCTACAGTAACAGTATTCTACCATCACATAGGATTATATTTAAACTGAAGGACTAGCCAGCTCTTTAAACTGCCTGCTGAGTTTAAACACACCTTTGTGGAGCGTATTTACCTCCATTTATTTCCCCCTTGCCCCAAGAGCGGTCCCACCCCAGTCCCACAAAGCAGCCAGCACCCAACCACCTGGGGGAGCCTGAATGTTCATCTGAAAGCAGGGGCTGGGGGCACCCTCAGCCCGAACCAGCCCTTAGGGACTACAGGAGAAAGTTGCATTTGTTTTTTTGTTTTTTTGTTTGTTTTTTTTTAAAGAAATACATAAAATATTATTTATATATGGTTCTCTCAGAGCTCCCTGACTCTTTGTCAAACTGAGACTTTGCAGGCTTTTCCCTCCAAGGAAGGGAAATAGTCTGCAGGGGAAGGGAATCTGTGGGAGCTTTGTGGGAGATTTTTTATCATTTATGGCAAAAACATTCAGTTCCTTACATAGCATGGCTTGGTATTTGCCTACATAAATCTAAATAACCGAGGCTGTGAAAGCACAGTGGCATACAGAGATGAAAACACTTCCACAATATGTATTTGTATAACTTTTTAATTACTTCACAAGCTTTGAAAAAAACATTGTATTTTTTTCCTCACTCCACCAGATTACCAATATTAGAACAACAAAAACCTACGTAAGGTACCCAGGGGAAAATATACTGACCAACACACTTTTTCAAAAGTGACACTAAATTTCTCGCTTTTGATACACTTTGAACTGGGATGGAAACGCATGAGGCAAATTTTTTTTCTGCACTGGTTAGTTCTTTTGCAACGCATCACATCTCAGACAAACCTAGCCAGCTCCTCAGACACCAAGAAGTCTTGTAGTCACACTAAGTACCGGGTCTTGCCTTGTCAACCTACCAGTCAGAGGAATTACCCTAAAATTGTTGCAGTGAAATTTATGGGTAACCCAGAGCTACCCAAGGGTGCCATTCGATGTTGACCCAGTCCCCAGCTGCAGCTCACCCGCCTGACTTACTCATGACTCCCTCCATTGCACTGCAGGAACAAGAAGCTGGGTTTGGTCTGTTTATTCTTTGGAGAGCTACGTTTTTCAGCTGGACCTGGAATCTCTTGCAAAGGTGTAGTGCCCCGGGGAAGAGCAAGTGTGCACTGCATCACACACATATATGCACAGAAAAGTTGTCATGCTCAGGGTTTTTTTTTCCAATAGAAATAGCTGTTTCTGCTCAGAATTTTTAACTACCCTGTGCCAAGATCACTCATATTTTTCATTTACAATGCAGACATCACAATGGGACAAAAAATTTTAACCTGTCAATGGAAGTCATGAAAAGCACTAAGAAAAAATACTAAACTTCCTAGTTTGTACATGAAAAAAACTTTTTGGCTACGTGATTAAAGGATGGCAAACACACCACTCAAAGATTGCTCCTCAAAGACATACCTCAATACCAAAACGGTAACTGTGGCAGCCGCACACAGCAAGAGAGGAAAACTCTTCGAGGACTAATTTGTACCATCTGCTCATTACCATGCCTCTGACGTTGATTTTGAATGCTTCTCTCACAATCGAAGATAAGCTGAAAGAAAATCAACTGTTTGCAAGTGTTTTGGGGATTTTTTTTCCTGTCTACCACCACATAGATGATAGAAAATCATGATAAAACCAGCATTTCCCATCAGTTCGCTATCATACATCGACTGTAGAAATTCCACACATGCACATCCGTCTGGCTTGTGCAGGCACATAAACACACAAAATCTAAACTCAAACTCAAAATTAAATCTCGAACTTCTGGTGCCTTTAACAGCACATTTATTAACAGAGGGAAGCCCGTGAGAGCCACATCCCTCACGCAAGGAATCCACTCCAAAACATTCTCCAACGCAGCCGTCGCAGCGACTCCTGAACATGCCTCTGGAGATCTGCCCACAGGAGACGTCATTGCCCGGACTGGGAGGAGGAACTGCAGCCAGAGCTCTGCCCGTGCCTCCCTGCCACCCAGGGCTGCGGGGCTCAACCCCCGCCCTCCGCTGGTGGCCTGATCCTGCTCTCGGGCTGCTTGGCGCCAGGCGGCGGAGGAAGGACGCGGTGGCAAGGATGCTTCTCCTGGGAGAGGGAAAGTCTCCTGCTCCCCCAGCACCATCCCACGCTGCAGGAAGCTTACAGTTACCTTCCCCCACCTAAGTGTGGGTGAAATTTCTCCCAGTTTTCTCCCACTGCACCCAACCCTGGGAAATCTGACAGAGAGAGTCCGTGTGGGCACAACATGCAAATAAGCCTTACTTTTGTAACTGCATAGAAAGTAGGCTCAAAAACCTTATATAAAGGAATCATGTAACTCTATGCTTGACAACCTTCCTGATTGAAAAGATACAAGGATATGAACAATATAGATTGAAACATTAGCTTCCTAACAGATGGATTAATAGGTTGTTATATGTTTTCCTCATTTAAGGAGAGGAGATCACACAAAGCCTTGAACATCAACGCCTGACCGGTGCTTGCTAACATTTAATGTTCTCCAGGACTGAAGACAAGGAACACACAACGAAAACAAGGGGCTCAGAGACATCCCCTCACCATAAGCTGCACATGCCTGGCAGCCGCAGAAACAAGGACATACTGTAAATGCACACTTGTGTGCAATCCTGCCCATGCAATCCTCCAATAAAAAATTAAAGAAAGTTGTCCTTTTAAACTTAACTGCACCCCTTATGGTGCATCTTTAATTCTGAGTAAATCCCACGGGACTCTTATCTGAGGCGCCTTAAGTAAATAACCCCTGAGGCGACCTGCTGAAGGGGGAGGAGAAAACACAAGGTGGCATCTCTTGGGGGAACCTTCAGCCAACCTGGGCCCTAGCACACCCCAAGCATGTGCTGGGGATGTCTTGCATTCGTTACAGAAACTACACTCATCCCTAACAAGCAGAGCCCGGCCAGGCAGATGTCTACTCTCCCACACCATGGGCAGCATTGCCCCACACAGCCCCAACAGTCCCCACACGTGATGCTGCAACGTAACGTTTCACAGCTTCAAAGAGTCAAACCCCAGGTGAGGGACTCTGAGGTACATCCAAACTCACTCCCCATCCCTACTGTCTACTCTCACCCTTCCCCTTCCCTTCTCCCAGTTCCTCTGCATCCCCTGTGGGTAACCTAGCCCACGGCATTCAGAAGCGAGTTCTAACTCGCTCTCCTCGCAGGGGCACCACTCCCTGCTCGGAGCCAGCAGTGGGTGCTTGGCTCAACTACACCTGCAGGAGAGGGTGCTCGGAAGGAAGGGAAAAAAAAATAAAAAATGGTTAAAGCCTACTAACAGCAGAGCTCCAGAAAGCCTCTAGAAACTTTTTCTGGATGTGAAACCTTCCTCCAAATGAATATGCAAAATGTGGAGAGGTATCAGAACTGATCCTGACACAAGGACCACCTACACAAATCTTCGGTGTGTCTAATTCAAAACACAAGGCTCCTGATGCTCTTCTAAAGGTCATCCTATTTAGAGGTTTGGGGGTTTTTTTGGTTGTGTGTGTTTTTTTTTTTTAAAGGTTTAGATGTTATTTTTCCTAGCTTTGTTCTCAGAAATGATTTAATCATTTTGGCTGAATTCCCACCCACACCAGCACCCCTTCCCTTCCTTGCACCACCCGCCAATCCCAGGAGTCAGCCTAAGCAGGCACACATCATGGAAAATGTCAAATCAGAAGTCAAAAAATTCAGCAAAGTTTAAACCACCAAAAATAGGGGTTTATAATGAGAAGTGCTCAGCAGTTTCAACTACAGCAAAATCTACCATCTGCATCTGTAATTTATGAATTAAAATGGCCTTTTAAATTAGACATATAGACAGGGGAAGGGGATGACACTGAACCGCAATAAAAACAGAATCAAGACTCACATTCTCACATGGCTTCTCCTGAAACACCTCTGTAGGAAGTGTAGACCATTTTTCAGCAAAGGTTTACCTAACCATCACCTTGTCTTATTAGACCTGGAAAAGTTTTCTGAGCTGTAAACTGACTCTACAGAAAAGGGCAGACACAAATGCATACACACACAGAGTAAAAACTGAGTGCTACATTTCAAGTTTAAAAAAAAAAAATACAAGTATGGAAAGATCAGTTTTGCACTATAAGAATAACACCATAAAACTAGTCCATGTTTGCTCAAAACCGAACACAGGATCATTCCAGATTATGAAGCTCTGCAGACATTTTGACAAATATGGTCTGAACTTTAAGATTATGACTAAACTTAAAACCAGACATTCTAAATTTGTTTCTTCACAAAGCTCTGGTATGCGATTTGTAAACTCCTGTGGATTCTCAACTACAACAAAGTGCTAACATTTTGGGGTTTCAATATCATTGTCAGTACCTCAGCCCCCTAGCCTGATGTTAGACATTTTCTCCTGGTTTGAAAAAAAAAAAAAAAAACAAAAAAACAAAACAAAAAAAAAACCCCACCTTAATTATAAAAAAAACCAAAAAAAAAAAAACCAAAAAAAAACCCCCACCTTAATTTTACCTGTATCATTTTACCTGTATCCCTGATGTGTCATTTTTATTTTTAGCAGTGCTTGGCAAATGTCCAAAGGTTTAGAATTCTAATTGCCATCAGTGGAATCCCTATATGCCTTTAAATCTGCAAATTAGGGTGCAACTCCAGAAAAAAAGCCTGGAATTTCATGCAGGAATATATAATGAATGAGGGCCAAACCCTGATTCCAGAGAGATTTTAAATGTAAGACGTAAGGACCAGGGGGGGAAGAGAGTTTCAGGGTTTTTTCTTTTAAACAAAAGCAAAGCAACAGCCATTGACATTGTGCATCTACAGCCCCAGGTCAAAAATCTGGAACTACCCCAATGAAGTTTTAGGAACTACATGAAAAAGTCCACATGCTGGGGCTGCCCAAAACATGCATGTCTCATCACCCTTACATACGTGAACACGCGATCAACATTTGAACTTAAAATCTTCAGGCTTGGAGTTAGGAGGAGAGAGTGAAAATTGCACTGCCTTCAGGTCCGCTAGGTATCAGCCAGTTTGCAGCACTATTCACCATCCCTGTCGGCTCGCTGATGACAGGTCAAGCAACTCTGATCATCCTTCCTCCACAAAAATGTATTTTGAATCACAATAATTGTAATAACCCATGCTACTGGCCACATCAACATGTCTAACTTGCTCTTCTGCAGCCATATTTCTCCCCATCATTCTCTATTTCCACAGCACTGAGTGCCCAGGAGCAGCTCGCCACTGTGCTACACGGGGCAGAGCGTGCAGAAGAGCAGTGCCTTCAGTGTGCCTCCCGCCCAACCACCAGCTCCTGCAGGAGAAAAAGAAAAAAAAGAGGTCTCTCTGGGCTGTTCCGTGAAGAGTTAGATTTTTCTGTCACCTCTCTTTTAGGTAACTTCCACGTGGTTTAGTTATTTGAATACTGGTTTTAACTGCGTCAATCAGCGCATTTAAAAACCACAGACGCACTTTTAAAAAACAGCAGATGCAACCAGAGGAAAAGATTAACACGTTCATTGGACTGTGTCGCTGAAAAACATCAGACCTTTGCAGACTAATGCTCAGAAGACCCCAGAGACCACTAAGACAGGTACGTGTTTTTAGTCTTTGTCTGTTCCAGCCTATCTAGATCTACGTAAATATACAGCCTGAAATATTAACTGTGCCAAACACATAGAAAGTCAGGCTCAACTACTGAGCAAAACAGCCTTTGCTTTGCCTGTAGTCAGTGTTACTTGGCTGCAGTCATGCTGTATCCTTGGAGGCTCTGGCTCCAGCTCCAGCAGTACTTCAGGGCTCAGTTTGCTGGGCTGCCTCTTTGCCCCAAGGTGGACGAGTGGGGCTGCACCATGCCCCAGTGCAGGAAACTTTCACCGCCTCAGGACTGCGGCAGCAAGCCCAGCAGCTCTGACAGTGCTGCTTGCTCCTCACCTACGCTGCACACACCCAAACTTAATTCACCTCGATTACATGTTTTCAGGACAATAGAGACCACCTGCAGAAAGCCAATTGCAAGAAACAAACTGCTTTTTCCCCTATTTTAAATCCTTGGAGTATCCGCAATCATTTTGGTTTACAAATTATGCACATCTGGATATGTATTTTACAGCAGAAAATAAATGTGCTGATGCAGTAGTTCTCTTATATTGTGTATTAAAATTAGGAACAATATAATGAAATAAAGTGTTTCAGTCTGATGATATTCAAGACATCTACGTATCGTTTTTCATTCCAAGAAATTCTAATGAACGTGCCTCCCTTCCCACAGACATTCTATGCTGCAGTCTGACAGTGTAGCAAACAAGCAAACCACACACCCCCCCCAGTCATGAAGTAGTACATTTAGTTAAAATAAGACCAACATTTTCTACTTTTCTTCCCTATAATTTCTAGCAAAGCCTAAGAAGGAAGTGAGCAAAATTACTTAATAGCTGCTCCTTTACAAATGTGCTTTTTCTAAAGGCTTCATAAAAATATGCGATTACTTTATCTTCTGTTCAAGTAGGAAGAGAGAGCAGTTTGCAAAAACTTAGGACTGATTAGAACTATTTGCTCATCTGTCTGACACATCCGTGTATTGGTTTTATAGTGCATTACCTTCAAAACTCCCGATACATTTACATTTTTATAGAACAAGACTGCTACAAATACTACCTTTTTTTTGGCATAGTTTCAATTGTCCAAAAGTTATGAAGTTATAGTATGACCGTTATTAACCAGATGCTTAATCTTAAACCTTGAATCTTAACCTGGGTTAAGCCAAACACTCAAAGACTGCTCAGTTTCTCAGAAGTCCGTATGCTTTCAAGAACAAATCCTAATACATTTCCAAACTTTTCTGACATGAGAACAAAGGCCTCTTGAATATCTGTGAAGGAGCGTGAAGAGAGAAAAATATTTCTTTCCAATTGCATTTTTTTCCATGAAATTAATCAAACAAAATTCTCAGAGAATAACTACTGTTGCTCAGGAAAAGTTGACATCGTTGATGTCGTCTTTGTTCTTTTTGTAGGTTCTTGGTATCTCCTAGCAGCAAAACCAACTTGCACAAGAAGTTTACAATGTCAAGCAACGTTTCACAGTGCCACATCAGCAAAGAAATGGAACCTTTTACCTATTTTTACTACTTAATTTTTCTTATGGGATTTATTGGAAGCTGTTTCGCACTATGGGCATTCACACAAAAAGATCAGAAACAGAAATGTGTGAGCATCTACTTAATTAACCTCTTAACAGCGGATTTTTTGTTGACTTTGGCATTGCCAGTAAAGATTATTGTTGACCTAGGAGTTGCATCCTGGAAACTGAGAATATTCCACTGTCAAGTCACAGCCTGTTTCATCTACCTGAACATGTACTTATCCATTATATTTTTAGGATTTGTAAGCATGGATCGTTGCCTTCAGCTAACACACAGTTCTAAGATCTACCGCATTCAAGGGCCTGGATTTGCCAAGTTGTTGTCTGCAGTCGTATGGACAATGGTTCTCCTTATCACAGTGCCTAACATGGCTATTCCAATAAAAAACATTGAAGAACGACCTGGTGCAGGATGCATCGATTTAAAAACAAAATTTGGAAGAGACTGGCACGTGTTTACTAATTTCATATGCACAGCAATATTCCTGAATTTTTCAGCTGTGATACTCATTTCCAATTTTCTTGTTGTTAGACAACTCTACCGAAACAAATACAGTGAGAGTTACGCAAATGTGAAGAAAAGTCTCATCAACATACTGCTCGTAACTGCAGGCTACCTGCTGTGTTTTGTTCCATACCACATTGTTCGTATCCCCTATACTTTGAGCCAAACCGATACCATAACCAGCTGCTCTCTGAAACAAGCTCTCTTTAAAGCTAAAGAAACTACCTTGCTATTTGCGGTATCAAACCTCTGTTTTGACCCTATTCTGTATTACCATCTTTCCAAATCATTCAGACTGAAATTTACTGAGACTTTTGCAGCACCCAAAGAGGCAAAGGTTTTCATAGACAAAGAGGCACAACACGGAAGTGAACAGGAGATGCAAAAGTACTGATTCTAAAATATATCAGAAGAGTTTGCAAATCTGCAGTATAAACAGCCAAAGCCCAAGCAGAAGGAAAAAACTTGAACAATATCAATCGCTTTGTTAAAGGTTCACATAGTAGATCTGAACTAGCAGAACGTTTGGTAATGCCTTTCAGAAATAGTTCAATGTACCAGTGATGACCTACCAAGGATCATCAACACTTAAGAATACAACATGTTCAGACAGACTCAAACATACCTTGTAATTATTTATGGTAAACCCCTGAACTCACCTTTTCTAAGGTAAATATTGCATACTTACTATATTAAATGACTTGGTGCAATCAAGTGAGGAGATTATTTAATAGCAATTCTTCAACTGCAAAGTTTTCAAATATACCATTAACCCAAAAGGATTTTAGAGGGCATTATTTACTCCAGAAAGTGGCTGTAAGCTGCACTGAATATAAATTTTTGTATCTGCCTATATCACACCTGCAGTTTTTATAAATAAATTTCTTATTCTTGCCAAGTTCCATTGCCTTTTCTTGCTGCTGCTTCAACGAGCATGAAAAAGAGCTAAGATGTTATTACAGAAAATTCAAGGAAATTTTAAAATTAAGATTGAGTACGTATAAGTACCCAGTGTGTTCCCTTTGCTTGTTTTTTAATAAAAATTTTAAAAACAGCAATTAATTTTATCAATATTCTAATTTACAGTTTCTTCCAAGAATAATGTATATGTAGAATAATTAATACTCAAAATTTAAAAATCCATTGTATATCAAAAATATTTCAGATACAAAACCAAATGGAGTTATCTTTTTTCTAATCCTTAAAATGGGCAATATATGAATCAAACTTTAAGCAAGCATTCAAAACTGTCCTGAACAGAAATAGTTCATTGAGTATTCTCATAACAATTCACCTGCAATAAATGAGAACCCAAAATTTGTGGAGTAAAAAATCTAAAGCAAAGAAAACTGTGGTTATCACATCATACTCTCATGTGACACTTCCTGGACTGACAGGATCCAATATTGTTAAAAAGTTATCATTGCTCTTTTAAAAAAAAAAAAAAAATTTCAAGCAGATACATTCCAGTTCAAGGCTTGTTCAGTATTTGGGCGCATTTTCCAGCACAGTAGAAAACATGAGAAGTCATCTGAAATGTTATTCATGGGGCTTTCTTCAGTTCCCATGAGCCTACAGACAAACACAACAACAGCAGCCGCCAAAAATCCACGCTAGAAACAGCGAGGAGTGGGTGGGAGGAAATAACACCATTCTGTCCCCTACATTTCAGAACTCTTTCTTTCAGATATTTTGGTATTCATCCATCTGTCCAACTACAATATCAAATTTTTAAGCAGTAAAATAACTACAATATCAAATTTTTAACTTAGCAAAGTTTTATTAGACCCTGGCACAGGGTGGTTTTATTGTGGTGCCTGTCTCCTCAATCTGAGTAAGTCATCACACATTATTATACCTCTTAGGCGTTCTTCCAGCTAACCCCCTTTCGATAAAACAGAGGTGCCCGTGCGCTGCACTGAAGCCACCCTGCAGCGCACAGCGTGTGCACGCTGGCAGCCACAGCCTCACACAAGCCAGCCCAGGAGCCCTCGGGCAGAGGTGACACAGCCCAGCCCTCTTCAGACAGCGAACTTTTCCTCCTTTAAATGCTTTGCTGTCACATCAGGCAGTACCCTTACGCACACAAGTACAGAGGTCACTCACCAGAGGTATAGGGAAATGTGTTGCGTATTGCAAATGGCGAAGGAGGTCATAATTGGATGGAAAAATCAGTTCTCTCAGTCTTTCCCTCTTGACTGACTTCTCGCTGGTAACTGAAATTCTTCTGTCTAAAGAAGAGTTCACATTCTCACAAGACTCCCCAGGCATTGGAGAAAAAATCTAAGTCATGTAAAACAAATGTTTAAGGTAAGTGTAACCTCTAGCTTTCAAAATTCAGCAATTGCATTCAGAGATACGATTTTGTTCTTGCTTACAGTTACTTTTTAAACATCTGAGGTTTTTCGGAGATAGACAAAACAAGGGCCATCATAATCAAGCCCGAAATTTAAGATACATATACACATTATATCTCTATGCATCTCTATGCAATGGAGGTATCTCCACTGTTATTAGACAAGTTTTAAACTAGCAGTATTCAGTGAGGAAAAAAATAATTACAATTCAGAGCAATCTCCACACTTCTTATGCTGCTGTGACACAGAAACTGTGATATGAGAGTCCAGTGATTGAGGGAAAATAAAGAAAAGGGTGAAGTGGGAGGTGACAAGAGACACTGTAGGCAGGCATGGACATGCTTGAAACCACCAATATGACAGATTTCAGGCAGAAACAGGGGTCCCAATGTCCTGCAAGTAGATCTGCACTGATAGGTCTGGGCATAGGAGTCCACACAGATGCAGAATGAGGACCAGTGCAAAAGAAGAAACTAGGAGATGCAAGAGTAACACAGAATCAAGCTAACAGTAAGGAAAAAGGGGGAGGGAGGGAGAAACAGTTTGGAAGACAGAGCCAAAACAGAACAGTCACTTGAAAAGCAAATGGTATCAATGGAGTTCCTCAGTGTCAAAGAAGTGGGTAAATCTGCATGTTTATTCATGCTTAACTGTAATACACAGCACTCTGAATATGCTGGGGGCAAGAGGGAGGAAGGGAAGGAGGGAGAGAGGCGTGTAAGTGTAAGTGTGCACACACACGTGCAGGTGGACAACTAGGGGAAGCACAGAAGAGCAGTAAGTTGTCATACAGCAGAGATGCAGAGAAAGGAGGAGACGCACTGACACAGAAGACAGCAGGGCCTAGATGCCAAAGGACATCGGCTGTCAATGGAAGAAGCAGGGTGGCACTAGGGGCATGGAGAGACATTCAGTGGCAACAGCAAGCAGCAGGCACAGGCATCAAAGGCATGCAGAAAATCGAAAGTTAAACCTACTGGAAATTCCGAACCAAAATCTGCCTTAAAGTCACTCTTGTCTACATCATCAAAAATACTAGCGGTTCCTGAGTCAATGCCCATATGTTCCATAATACTATGATCCTAATAATTGCCAGAGAGAAAAACAAACATCAGTCACATGCCATTGAAGACCCATTTAACTGATCACAGGTAAACCCAAGCACTCCACCTATTTAAGAATTAAGAAAAAGAAGTCTTGATGGTAAGGAGTTTTACTAACTTTTCAATCTTTATGATTAACTTTAATTCACAAGAGTATTTCTCAAGCCTAAATCCACAAAAGCATAGAAAAAGGCAGGAACAAAACTTTACAGTATATCCCTGTGAGCAATTCTGCTCCAGGGGCACCTACAGAACAGGAAGACGACTCTTGTACCTTCTCAAGATTTACTTCCTGCTTTGTTGTACCACGAAAGGCAACTTGTAGAAACTCCTTATATTTCAGGGCAAATTTGGCCATGAGACCGACGTAAGAGATACACAAAATATAAAAGGATGCTTTAGCTGTCCACAGGCTTCACGTGGACAGTGCAGCAGAACAACAGCCTATATCTCATCACACGAGTACAAATGTGGTCTGCAGTCCTGCGTTTAAAATTGCCTTCCTCTTGCGCTAGTTTTAGAAAAGGCTACAAACTGCTCATCTGATGAAAGACTTGGGATTGCACCTGGACTGTGCACATACGAATCGTGAGGTTTGGCTTCACAGTCTTCAGTTGTGGCTGTGCAGCACACAGTAAGCTCCTGATCACCTGTGAGCAGACTTCCAGGCTGGCCATCACTCGCGCCTGCGCTGTGCCAGCGTGCCCCATACTACACAGAGGACATGGGGCTTACTCCAGGCTCTCCTCTGACTCCTCCTGCTTAAAGCTCTCCCTTCTCTTCACTGAAACACATCTGCAAATAAGTTTTTCCACTAGTACATTTAGAAGTCTACATTGCACCTATTTGTTTGTCCTGATCACCAGACAACTGTCAGTTCAGTATATTTGCACCAAAATGACAGTGTTTACAGCTATATACTAGAATGAAGCTAATGGATCACTTTCAGTCTTCTCAAAGAGAGAGAGACAAGGAGACACAGATTAAAAAATTTAATGCCTCATATCTGAAATATTAATGCTTCAGTAAAAGTCTACGCTTAACAAAACAGAGTACCAAACATGGGAGAAATAACATGAAGTGTTACCTCCAGTTTCACGTCATGATCCTTAGAATAGTGTTCATCCACAGCTTCCCCATTAGGTGAACGTGGTCTAGTAGTTGCAGTGATTGACAAGTCTCCGCGTGATATTAAAGTGCACATGTACGCATCATGGGAGAAAACATCATGCCGAGTGAATTCAGAAAAAAGCAGCACCAAATTCACAAACTCTATCTTCTCATGGTCACTATTTGGGTCAGCTACCAAAAAAAAAAAAAAAAAAGAAAAAAAAAACCAAATTAGACTGTAGTTTCAACTTATAAATATTTGGGTTTCTACTATCTAAATTGCAAACCCCAGCAAATTAATTGTAAATGCCTACTAAAAATGCCTCAGGCATCCTGCACAGGTTTTTTTGTCTACACAGAACAAACCATTTCCCATCTAATTTGTGTGGGTTTTTTTGCTGTCAGCTCCAGACGTGCGACAGACTTCATACAGCAGTGGATTCCAGAGCATCCTACCCCATACACATCTGCCCCAGTTGCGGGTAGAGAGGTGGGGGGTGTCAGCAGTTAAGTACAATGTTCAAATACTTCTAAAAATTAAAAAGAGGGGGTGAGAGGGACATTCCTTGTGTGCATTAAAATTAAAGTTGAAGCACTGGATTATAACAGACCACCCAATGGTTGTCCCTTTCTCACAAGTTATATTACTACAGTAAATGTTACTGTCTTATCTATAGTACTTTTATATTCATAACATAAAACCTTTAAAAATATATTCAAAAAACTCAAGATCTCTGCATGCCAGGCCTCCAAGATGTAAAAGCTAAATTTTATTAAAGCTTGACAGTGTAGTGTATTTTATCTATTAAATGTGCTCACGCACA